ATGCATATAGCTTAAGTATAGTCTTAACAATTACCTGCTTCTTTTTATTACCTAGCCTTTATAATTTAGCTGTAGAATTAGCTTATAAAGGTTGTCTAGCGCTATAGTTATTTATTATTTTTTATAAGACCTTGCACATAGCTATAGCACATTTCTTTAAAAGTTTTATGTTTTATTTAAAAGCTTAGAGCGTAAGCTGTATCTAACATTCTTTTAGCGCGTTTAAGTAGTGTTGTGGGGAATGCATTAGTGTAGAAAGAGTAGTTTAGTAGGGTCTTAGTAAAAGTAAGCAACTTAGGTGTGTAAGCAACTCGCCTGTGAAGTACGTTAGAGTAAAGGCAGAATGTAATTAGATAGACTTACACAGACAGAAGGGAGGTAACGCGTACAGAAGGTAACTCTTTAGACAAAAAAAAAAGTTGCTAGTGTCTGTACATAGCAGCAGTGTTATAGCCTAGATATAAGTAATTGCGCACAAGCAGGATTATGTATCTATGTTATATAATACTTATGTGTGAACCTCTATGCGTAAACATTTAAATATCCCCCTTTTTCTCTATACAGAGGAAAGATAAGAGTAATAGAACTAGAAACATGTTGCCCTTACCTTACCTACCTTGTACGCTGTGCACACTGTACACCACTCTTACTTTTGCTACTTAAGTGCTTATACTATAAGCAGCTAGCTGTCGGAGCCTATTTAACAAATATAGCTAATTCTTTGCGCGCTAAGCGTAATCTAGGCTATGTTAGCATAAACTAGCCTAGTACATTTATAAAGCGTTATTTAAAGCTTAAAGTAAAGTTTTAAGCGTAAGTATAGTTAATAGATATTTAGCCTATAATAAAGCCTGTTTTGCTAAAGTTGTACATGTTATTATCCTAGATGCTATACTTAGCTTTAATATTCTTTACAAGGCTAAACCTGCCTTAAATTACCCTAAGACTCTTACAGAGAGCTCTCTTATAGTTGTACTACGTGTAAACGTTACCTTAAGGTCTAGATAACACTTTCTAAACATACTAGGCTAGTTTATGCTAACATAGCCTAGATTACGCTTAGCGCGCAAAGAATTAGCTATATTAGCTATAAATGCTATCTAATGTAACGATCCTCATGAATCGTTCCATCTCGGATGGCCCGGAAGGCCCCCGTATCGGCCCCGACCTCGACCTGGCCCCGACCCCTGCTGTTACCCCTATTCCCTCATGTATTTAGTCGCACCTCGCCCTGTAGCTAGCTTGGTAGTTTTCTGATATCCTTTCGTACAAGGCCTATAGGTGTCAATGGCATTCCCAGGTTCTGAGTCCCCACGCACTCCCATATGCCTCTGAGTGGATTCATACCGCATTCAGACCCATTGTCTTGCCTGCGCCGTTACATTATATTAGAAAACTCGCTTTTGCTAGTAACAGCCTTATTAATAATATTGCATTAATTGTCTGTTTAACTATGTCTAAGCCCAAGACGCGTCTGATTTAGTTTAGGTTGCAATCCTCTACACTGTTACATTAAATTACTTAGTCTATAGACCAGATCCCATCAACCTCTGGTTGACTAAAGCCTTTAGGTTTAGAACTTCCTATCCCCTGCAATTAGGATTGCCTTTAGAAAAGTTGCAAAGAGGCGCTAAGGTAGAAACTTAGAGACTACTAATAACCTATTAGAATTAGAGGCAACCGCTGATGTCTAACTAACTACCCCCTAACTCTAGAGTTAAAGCACGCTCTAGGCGAGGCAAGCCCCTAGAGTTGATAAACAATCTATGTCAACAGCTGAACCTGCTTCGGCGGGACCTGAAGCTAGCCCCACCCGATTCGGACTCGAGCCACAGCAACATGTCCCGATAGACCTCAATTAACCACCAAATCACCCCCGACAATGCCTTAAATCATCCCCGCTACCTTAATAGCAAGAGACCCTTAAGGCACCCCTGACAACGCCTGATTGTCACCGCACTAAACGCACGTCTAAGATTAATAACCGCACAGATAGTAAGGAACAATTAGCAAGCCTTAATCATTGACAGGCTGCGCATCTATACAGAGCACTATCAGAGCAGGCACGCACGCATGGCGTTTGGTTTGGAGGACATCGCTGGCAGTGCGGAGGAATAATTGGCAAGGACACCTAGCCGAATCAGACCAGTTTCAGTTCAAGGAGGCAGAGGACATGACAGTGATACTTCGTACTATGATTACTACTAATAGGGACTATTAGTCTACAGAGGGGGGGGTAGTGTAACGATCCTCATGAATCGTTCCATCTCAGATGGCCCGGAAGGCCCCCGTATCGGCCCCGACCTCGACCTGGCCCTGACCCCTGCTGTTACCCCTATTCCCTCATGTATTTAGTCGCACCTCGCCCTGTAGCTAGCTCGGTAGTTTTCTGATATCCTTTCGTACAAGGCCTATAGGTGTCAATGGCATTCCCAGGTTCTGAGTCCCCACGCACTCCCATATGCCTCTGAGTGGATTCATACCGCATTCGGACCCATTGTCTTGCCTGCGCCGTTACATCTAAGAGGAAAATCCTTGCGCATATAGCTTAAGTATAGTCTTACTAATTATTTACTTCTTCTTATTGCCTAGCCTTTATAAGTTAGCTATAGAATTAGCTTGTAAAGGTTGTCTAGCGCTGTAGTTATTTATTGTTTTTTAAAAGACTCTGTATATAGCTATAGCATGTTTCTTTAAAAGTTTTATGTCTTATTTAAAAGCTTAGAGCGTAAGCTGTATCTAACATTCTTTTAGCACGTCTAAGTAGTGTTGTTAGGAATGCATTAGTGTAGGAAAAGTAGTTTAGTAGGGTCTTAGCAAAAGTAAGCAACTTAGGTGTGTAAGCAACTTGCCTGTAAAGTATGTTAAGTTTTAAAGTAATTACAGTCTAATTTATATTAGATACTTTATAATATTAAATACTTAATAAAGTAGATATAATTAATTTTACTTAAAATAATAATATTATCTTTGCTATAGATACTACTAAGTATCTTTGTTATAACTCTACTACATTAGCTCTTTAGGGTTAAAAGAAGCAGTTAAACTTTTTTATATTATTTACTTCTTCTTCTAAAGTTATAAAGAGCCCCTTAAAGAAACAGTATACTGTCTAGCTTTTATTTAATTAATGTTTATAACTAATTTACTCTTGTAATAGCTTTACTATATCTTTAAAAGTTACACTAGCAGCACTAAAGTATGCGCTTTACCTTATATACTTCTAATAGCTATTCTAACGCAATAAGTTCTTCTCTATTAATAGATATAAATGTTGCTTAGTAAGAAAAAATTATTACTTTTTTAGTATAAAAAGTAGACTTATGTTAGCAACTTTAAGATCTTTTATAAGAAAAAAGTTAGGCATTATTAAGTAAGGACTAGCAGTAGATAGGTAAATGTTACTCTTAATAGTGCTTTAATAGTGTTGCATTAGTGTTTAGCAGAAGTAAGACAGGTGCAGGACTAGTCCTAGACTTAATAATTATAAAAGGTTGTGTAATATTTAATTTAAAACTATATAGGGAGCTTTTGTACACTAACTCTGGTTGTTCTTGGGCTGAGATGCACCAGTCACGACTTAAGCAGGGGGCATCGGAGTTCGTCGGGCTGGTGCAATGCCGAGCCTCCGATGGTGCACCTTTGGCGTTTTATCCGTGCGCGAACATCTAGATATCCCCCTTTTCCTCCGTACGGAGGAAAGACAAGAGCAATAGAACCAGAAACATGTTGCCCTCACCTTACCTACCTCGTACGCTGTGCACACCGTACACCACTCTTACTCTTGCTACTTAAGTGCTCATACCATAAGCAGCTAGCTGTCAGAGCCCATTCAACAGTAATAATGTTTACTACAGCAACTATTTTTACGCTTGTACTAATCTTAACACTTAAAACGGTCTTATCTAAGCTTTAGAGCGTTAACTAATACGATGCTAGCAACGTCGTTATTCGCTTTTTTTCTGCTGTGGCGCGCAAATTCATACAAGGTCGCAACGCAGATCAGTACCTCTAATCAAAGCGATTACTGGTTTAGACTCATATAGAATAACCCCGCCTTACAGAATCATTTATCACGATGTAATTTGTTTCAAATGGTTGTTGGGCCTTCGGCCGCGCGGAGTCTTCGCAAAGCTGGCCAGCTTTTTACTAGGAGCGAGCCTTGCGACTCAACTCTGGCCATATCTCTGGTCAACGAACTCAACTCTCTGAGAACACCAATCGCCTCCTCACAAGGCTGTGGCTAGAAGCAGTTCGGTAATCGTCCTGCTAGTCTGGGTGAGTTTACAGTATTTATGTGAAAGCTGGAGGGCTCTACGATGGGCTGCCCAATTAACCTTGGATTTGGCATCCCGCAATACTGTATAAATTACATAGCTCCTCGAACCCTCAGTCTACAATACATGACTCCTCTCGTAACTTGAGCCCCAACAAGGTTCCATTATGTTTTCAAAATCTGCAGTAAATACCGATAAATATGCATGTAGAAAGGGATCTTCGATTCACCTTAGGCATTAGTCTTAGCAATAAACTTTACAAAGAACAGTTGAACATGATGTATACAGAGACACAAGTTTAACTTGGTCACGTAAACGACAACACTACGCCTCAAGTTAAGATAATTGAGCTTTCATGGAGGCGATTAGTTTTCTTCTGTTAAAATTAAACAAGTTAGACAAGAGAGTTACAAATGGAATTTAACGTGGCGGTTTAGCTTCGGCTGCGCTGCATTTGTTTTGCGGGCTGGATCAGCCCGCAAAAGCTGAATTAGTCGCGATGCCTCCACCTCATTACGCTCCCCTTTTCCTTCTTGTCACCCTTTTATAGCTCATTCTATGTTCCTTAACGGAATCTGAATCCTCTGCCCTTTGAAACGTACTGAGCGCTTTGAACTGTTTGCGCGAGGCTACCAGACTTCGCCAAGAATCACTCACAGTGAAACCGCGTCCATTCTCCACCCAAATCTGAAGTCGGCGCCCCATCGTTCTCCGCCAAAAAGCATGCCGGATCAGGAAAGCTACACCATCGGCTGGATCTGTGCCATAAAGACCGAGCTGGTTGCTGCGCGAGCCTTTCTCGACGAAGTGTACGAAAGGCCCGAATATGTGTCCCCCAAAGATGATAACGACTACACACTGGGCAAGATTGGGGGGCATAATGTCGTCATTGCTGTCTTGCCTAGCGGCGAGTACGGTATAGCCTCTGTGACAGGCGCCGCGAAAGATATGCTGCACAGCTTTCCCAGTATTAGACTCGGTCTGATGGTCGGCATCGGTGGTGGTGCGCCAAGCAAAAAGCACGATATCCGTCTAGGTGACATTGTTGTTAGCAATCCAAATGACGGGAACGGTGGCGTATTCCAATATGACTTTGGCAAGACGATACAAGACCAAAGTTTCCAAACAACAGGATTCTTAAACCAGCCACCAAGAGTCCTGCGGACGGCGGTGAGTGGACTTCAGGCGCAATATGAGGCAGATGGTCATCAGCTTGAAAATGCCATCAACGGCATTCTCGAGAAAAAGCCAAAACTCCGGAAGAAGTACATGCGGCCGAGCCTATGCACCGACAGATTGTATCAAAGCGAAGTCGTTCATCCCCAAAATAACGACAACGGTTGTGCGGAAACTTGTGGCGATAACCCGAAAGACTTGGTACCACGAGTTGAACGGACCGAAGAGGAGGATAACCCAGCGATTCACTACGGCCTAATTGCTTCAGCGAACCAGCTGATGGAGAATGCTTTATTCAGAGATAGACTCGCAGCGGAAAAGAACGTTTTGTGCTTCGAAATGGAAGCGGCAGGCTTAATGAACAGTTTCCCCTGTTTGGTTATTCGCGGTATATGTGATTACTCAGACTCGCATAACAACAAGGAGTGGCAAGGGTACGCAGCGATGACTGCGACTGCGTATGCGAAAGATCTTCTATGTAGGATTGCCCCAAACCAAGTTAAGGCCGAGAAGAAAATTGACGTTCCATCTGGTCAGTCTAAGGGCCCCCTGGAGTCATTCAATTCATAAATATCTAATTATACAATTATGACAGGCATCCAAGAAACTGCAGGAGAGCATCGGGACATTGCGTGTAAGCTGCTTAAGATCGAGCAAGACAGAGGTGAGCAGAAGCTGTCCGACAAGGAGAAACAGTGTCTTCAGCTGTTCCGTTTCACTATGAGCACCAACCGTGACTGACGACATCCCACTCCAGCAAGACCAGAGACACCGCCGAGCCCGCCCTGCTCTATCCCCTTCCACCGTGACCCAGACTTCGTTGACCGCGGGACGCTACTCGATCAGATACGCGAGAAATGCTCTGCGCCAGCATCGCGAATAGCTCTAGTGGGTCTGGGTGGTGTGGGGCAAGTTGAAGGCATCCTCCTAGTCAAGTGCCCAGACCTGACGCTAAGAACAGGAAGTCGCAGCTTGCCATCGAACACTGTCATCGCACCGCCGAACGATCGCCAGAGCAGTGGGTGTTCTGGGTGCACGCTAGTAATATAGCCCGCCTTGAGCAGGGCTACCGAGACATCGCGGACAAAGTCAAGCTGGCTGGCCGCGAAGACCCACAAGCAGATGTGTTCAAGCTCGTTCACAACTGGCTTCAGAACGAGAAGAACGGAAAGTGGCTACTTGTCCTCGACAACGCTGATGATGGTGCTACTCTCTCTCTACCAGTGAACAATAGCCAGGAGACACGGACAGGCGGCAGAAATAGCGCTTACCCACGTTCCCTCTCATCGTATTTACCCCAGAGCAAGAACGGCGCGGTTCTAGTCACTAGTCGGACGAGGAGCGCGGCACTGCGTCTGGTGGAGGCGAGCAATATCATCCCTATCGAGCCCATGAACGACGTGAACGCGCAAGAGCTTCTGCAAAAGAAGTTAGGGGAGGAGGTGGACAGGGACAGCACTGCTGAGTTAGCGAGAGCCCTCGAATTCATGCCACTCGCCCTCGTACAGGCGGCCGCGTACATCCGCGAACGAGCACCAAGAAGTTCGGTGCAGCGATATCTAGAGGCGTTCTACAAGAGCGATAAGAAAAGGACAAGCCTGTTAGATTGCAATGGAGGCCAGCTCCGGAGAGACAACGAAGCTAAGAACTCTATTCTTATAACATGGCAAATATCGTTTGATGCTATACTAGAGGAAAGGCGGTCAGCGGCAGACCTGTTATCATTAATGAGCTTCTTTGACCGGCAGGGGATTCCTGAAGCGCTCGTTCGTAACCAATGCGGGACGGAGAATAAGCACGGTGGCGTAAAAGCCATTAATGCAGACAGCGACGATAGTGAATCGGAAGCTAGCGTTGATGATGGGTTTGAAGAGGATATTCTTATGCTAAGGAACTACTCGTTCATCGCGCTTACCACTAATCAGACTACATTTGACATGCATGGGCTTGTGCAGCTAGCCACACGGAAGTGGTTGGAAGAACAGGGCCAGCTAGAAATATGGAAGCAGCAGTACATCAACAACCTTTGCACGGCATTTCCGACAGGGGAACACAAGAACTGGGCCCAATGTCAGGCACTATTTCCGCATGCTAAGTTGGCGCTGGAGCAGCAGCCTAAGTCTAAGGAATCTCTTAGTCAGTGGGCTCTGTTGTTGTACAAGGCGGCGTCGTATGCGTGGCGAAAAGGAAACCTAAGTGATTCTCATAAACTGTCTATGAGGTCAATGAAGACTAGGGCAAAGTTACTTGGTAAAGAGCACGCAGACACACTAAGCAGTATGGAGATGGTAGGGCTAGCAACAGAGCTTGCGGGACGGTGGAAGGAGGCCGAAGAGCTGTTTGTGCAAGTGATGGAGACGTTCAAGAGGGTGCTTGGGGAGGAGCATCC